GCCTCGGGCAGATAAGTAAAAGTCCCTCTGGCCTGCTGCCGTCTGGACTTCAACTTATCTGCCCTCGGCTTCGGGGACATTTAATCCCTAATCTCCCTCAGAGCCATGCTATTACATACTTATAATAAACCTTCAGAGTTACTGGGCATTTAAAAGTTATTACATTGATTTTCAATCGATATATTTCCTCGTAATGCGCCTAAGTATGAAGGTGGATTTGTTCACCACTGTACCTATTGTCTAATTGTTCTTGTTTATGTGTTGAAATTTGTGGATTCACTACAGTACTATAGAACGAGTGTACACTACTGTTAAAACAAAGATTGTGATTTGATAAAATAACAAAGAGAGACAGGCAATACAAAAGACGAAGATGTCCAGTAGAACAATAGACATTGTCTGACATAATCCTACAATTCTTTGTTTTTGTTGTCTCGATCAATCACAAGCTTCGTTCTGACGGTAGTGGTCGACCCCTATAGAAAAATATCTGCGGTACGCAGTTTAGCTGATATTTGTTTTCTGCACGTTACGCAAGGAATTGTTTATTTAACGTGACCATTGTTCCGCATTACTGATTACTGTAATGAAGTAATTGTACGTGCAGTATAAATAAGAGTAAATGCGTATTGGTTCTTCCTTCGGGTCGAACACTAGCGACGACACCTACTTACTCAAGTTTTTGTTAGTCTTTATTACTCATCGTACTCTTGATTTGATATATTTAGTGTGGGCAATATGGTCATTTAAGTGCCAACTGCAATAAATCAGCCTCCTCTTCAAACCGAATTGCCCCTATTAGCACAAACAGCAAATGACTAGATGAGCCAAACGACAAAGTTGAGTATGATGACACTTATTTTGAACAAATTTCTTGTCATTTAGACGAATTTAACGTCGATAATACCAGTAAAGGCGTTAAAGGGAGGATTAAACGTTCTATCTTTAGATTTTTGGAGTGATAAGTTAGATGCTCCTGAATTTGTCATTAGCATGATTGCTGAGAGATACAGGTTGCCGTTTAACGATTATCCGCCAAGTTGTTTTTTGAGGAATAATGCATCCTCTTTTAAACACCCAGAATTCGTGAATGAAGCCATTTTAGAGCTATTGGATAACGGTTGCATTAAGGAACACAGTTCACCGCCTTTTTGTGTCAACCCATTAACAGTTGCAGAAGGAAAAAAGCTACGCCTTGTTATAGATCTTAGACATGTTAACACGTATCTAGCTAGAACTAAATTCAAATACGAGGACTTGCGGTCATTATCTCAAGTTATAGAAGAGGGCTCCTGGTTTTTCACTTGGGATTTTAAATCCGGCTATCATCACGTAGATATTCTCGAAGAGCACCAGAAGTATCTAGGATTTTCCTGGCAATTTGGCAATGTAGTCCGCTATTTCACATTTTGTGTTCTGCCATTCGGGCTAGGTAGTGCATGCTTTTGCTTCACTAAATTGATGCGCCCCCTTGTGAAGCGATGGCGCTCAATGGGGCACGTGACTTTTATTTATCTAGACGACGGTTTCGGTAGCCAGCCTGATAAAACATCTGCGTGCGCAGCCAGTTTAATTCAGCGCAAAGAGCTGCACTCATCAGGTCTTCTATGTAATTGGGTTCCTATGCAAATTGGCGAATGGCTCGGTTTTTTGATAAACACGATTGCTATGGTATATCAAATTCCAGAAAAGAAACTGTCTAAGCTTAAAGGTCTACTAGATTTATGCATCTCTGATGGGCACTGCACATATCGCTTTCTGGCAAAGATTGCAGGGTCGGTTATCTCGTGCGCGCTAGCCGTTGGTCCCATTGCGCGCCTTTTTACCCGTCAAATGTATTTAACAATCGAAACGAGGTTATCTTGGGACAGCGTCGTGCATTTTTCACCCGGTTTATTGGAGGAACTTAGGTTCTGGTATTTAAACCTAGACTGTTTCAATGGCTATTCCATTCGTCCACCACCTACGTCATCTACTTTAGTTTTTTCAGATGCCAGTGATTCAGGTTTCGGCGGTTATTCTGCGTCTCTAGACGGTAGTACAGTTAGTGGTATGTTTACTTCCACAGACATCGGTCAAAGTTCTACTTACAGAGAATTGAAGGCTATATATTACGTGTGTTTGGCATACTTGGGTCAGTTACGGAATAAGAAGGTTAAAGTGTTTACCGACAACCAAGGTGCTGCCCGTATAGTTTCTATTGGTAGCTCCAAAGCGCACTTGCAACGCGTAGCTTTGGATATATTTCAGATTTGTTTACGTAATAATATAGTCCTAGAAGCACAGTGGATTCCCCGTTCAGAAAACGAAAAGGCTGATCTCCTTAGCAGGTTTCTCGATAAAGATGATTGGTCTGTACCTTCTTCGGTTTTCAATCTGTTAAATCACAAGTGGGGTCCCTTTACAATCGATCGTTTTACGTCCTACTATAATGCGCAATTACCAAGGTTCAATTCGAGATTCGCATCTCCCGGTTGCTGCGCTGTTGATGCTCTTGTTCAGAATTGGAGCAACGAGAATGACTGGTTATGTCCACCAATCAATTTGATCGTCCCTTCATTGAGAGTTTTGGAAGCTTGCCGTGGCAGAGGCACTTTGATCGTTCCTGAGTGGCCATCGTCTTATTTTTGGCCATTCTTACACCAGTCCAACGGCCAATTTCCACATTTCATTAAGGATGTTTTTGTTCTTCCCAAAATCTCCGACCTACTTGTCGAGGGACCCGGACAGAAAGCGGTATATACTAGGAAACGAYCGGTGTTAACAGGTTGTSCGAGTTTTAAYATGCTCGCTCTTCGATTAGATTTCACCAATTAGGTGTTTGTATATAGGCACGTTTTGAGCATTTTATGCATTTGCCATTTAGGCCCTTGTCTATGAAATTTATTCAATTCTTCCAGTTCGGTTATGCATTTTGCTGGACATGACTTCTGGTCTGTACCAATTTGGGTTTGCCAATTTTTGGGCGTATCTGTCAAGTGTTTTGACTTATTTTTTAGTTTCTATATAGGCTCGTTGTAGCCGACAGCATTTTATGCTTTTGCCATTTAGGCCCTTGTCTATGAAATGTATTCAATTCTACCAATTTGGTTGCGCATTTTTTGCGGGGCATGAATTCTAGTCCGTAACAATTTGTGGTTTGCCAATTTTTGGCCGAATGTGTCAAGTTTTGACTTATTAGCCATTTAGGCTGTATGCCAATTTTTGGCGTGCCATTTAGGCAAATGATTTTTTCTAAACTTAATCTACAAACGCCAGTGTCTAAGAATGTTACTTAGAGGTGTGTTAGAGAACGTATCGAGCTTGTATGAGTTTGTAATTGTGTGATTTCGCAAGAATTAACGATGAACAGTGTCTGAGCTTCTGATATTCGATTAAAGTTAGAGCTAATTGATATACATTTTTCAGTTTTTTGCAGATATTTTTGAGTCCAGCGCGTGGGAAGTTCGCCTGATAAAAGATCCTTCGTTAGTGGAGCTTGTACCAAATCTTGTAAACTTACAGTTGAATTCCAAAGCCCCTTCAACAGTGCATAAATACCAGTCGAGTTGGCTGAAATGGCGTGGTTGGGCGTGTTCTAAATATGGTGTTAGCGTGATCCCTGCGGAACCTATTCACATAGCTCTTTACCTGACTGAATTGGCCTACTCCGCCAAGGAGAAAGGAACTGGCGTTTCTGGTTTAGATACAGCAGTTTATAGTTTAGCTTGGGCTCACAGATTAGCTGGTTTACAGACCTGTCCTACAGACCATCCACTTGTAAAGGGCACATTGGAAGGAGCSAAGCGTATGCTGGCAAGACCATTAAATCGCAAAGAGCCATTGACTTTGGAATTAGTTGAACGTATAACAGCTGCCTATAGTGCTAGCGAATCTTTGGCTGTACTCCGTTTTCTATTTATACTGTTAGTCGGTTATGCCGGGTTTTTTCGTATTAATGAAGTTCAAAGCATAAGATTAATGGATATATCCGTGTATAATGATCAAATGTTTTTGTTTATTCCTAAACGCAAAAACGACCAATTTCGTGAGGGTCACACATCTTTAATTGCAAGATCCGATAAAGCAACGTGTCCAGTTAATATTACAGAAAAATTAATTAGGAATTTACCAGCTAACGCTAGCCCTAGTAGTCCTGTAATTCGTCGTATTATTAAGACTAAGCGAACAGAACGTTACCATGATACCAGAGGAGTTAGTTATACAACAATAAGAGAGGAGTTTCGTAAATTAATATCGCCTTTTGTAACAAACATTAATAATTATGGCGCACATAGTATAAAGTCTGGTGCAGCTTCAAATCCAGGCTGTCGTAGTATTAAAGGTGACCTCTTAGATAAACATGCAGGATGGAGGTGCCCATCATCGAAATTTCGTTACATCAAGTATACAAAAAATGATATGCTGAATGTTACCAAAGCTTTAGGAATTTAATTCGTTTTTCCTTGTTGGGGCAAGGGAGATTGTGCCTTGGCCCCCACCAGATTTCCTCAAGAAGGTTTTTTCTGGCCTCCCTGGCGCATCTCAGTCTTATTCATGATAAATAATAGATTTGAATTTTTTCCAATTATTAGTATACAATATTTAACATAATTTTGTATTAAATTTCGTATTAATGTATTGCTTATTAAAGGTATTGTAATGTGGTGTCGTGCCGACCCATAATGCAATATTCTCAATGCATTATGTGTGTGTGTTGTATATATTCCTAGTATAGTGCAGAAGATTTTATTCAACGAGAACCCCGAGTTCACGCAGCTATGCGTCTACTTGATTGATATGTTATTTCTTACCGTTCAGTAAGTTTCAGCGACCATTAGACACGTGACTGGAACTACTTCGTTTGACTGAAATTTGAAGAACGGCTTATTTTGAAACCTCAAACTCAATAACAACAGACTATGTTTCGTTCCGAACAAGAAACTGCGTATCTTGCTGTCTGAATACTCCTTTCCCATTGGCTGACACATTGTGTTAACGTAAAAACATGAATATTTATTAACAATTTATGTCGACATCAAACTTACGTTTCCTTCCATGAATCTCATTCTGAGTCATTTATCTTCACTGTGAATATTGTAGAAATGCATTTTTCAATACAAATCATTATATTTTTGAAGTTTTTTTCCAATTTAAACATGCTTTTCAATACTGGGTTGGAACTTGAAAATAATTCTGTATGTAAATTTGCATTTTGCGCTCAGCGGGCTTCAACGACAGGTTACGGTCAAATACACTACATGAACATTTTAGAAAGAGAATTTTAATAAATTGAAGCATTTATTGACACACTAGTTTAGCATTAGACCTCAAGGAAGCCAGAAAAGAAGGAAGATGTTTGTAACTTACCTAGGATTTTATCGAAACAAGAATGAAAACGTTTGTGTTTTGAAAGAGGGTCTCAATGGGGTTAACCGTGAGCCGTGAAACGGCTGAAAAATAAGCCGTGGGTCGTGAAAATGAGAAAAAATTAGCCGTGAGGCGTGAATATTTTTTATAGCGTGAGCCGTGATTCAGTTTGTTCCTCATGGAAGTCTCAGAAGGACTGTTAACTCCAGACGCGCGATTGTAATTTTTTCTTTTTTGTAAATTTAAAAAATAACGCTTGAGTGGAGATTTTTCAAAATTTTGCCTTGCCAGAATTTTTACCAACAAGGCAGTTATTACAAAGGTCCTGCAGACAAGCCATGGCATGGACCAAAATTTGGCATTTTAGAGTGATGATACTAAAATTATAATAACTGAGTGTCTATAACGTACAAGGGGACACTGTGCTCCCACACTCACTATCTCTAGCACAAAACAAATCATGAAAAAGTAATGAAAAACGTTTTCATTTCAAAAATTTCTGAAAGTAATCTAGTTAACCGTGATTCGAAAAAATTAGTCGTGAGTCGTGAAATAGCCAAATTTTTAGCCGTGAGTCGTGATACTTACCACCCCATTGAGACCCTCTTGAAAGTCTTTCAAACTCAATTCAATTGACGTGAACTTTCATTAGACTAGGTTCTTCATATAATATTCTTGTTTATAATAGTGAACTTCATTGTTTAGTTTATATTTGATATTATGATTGAATGTAGTCAAGCATGTACGTTATTGCCTCAGACTGTGTTACGACAATGTGTACTCAAGTGGAGTGGGGTTGGGATTCTTTCTTATGCACTGAGAACACTAGATTCGGTTTAAGATATGATTTTTATCCACAACNGCCGTGAAACGGCTGAAAAATAAGCCGTGGGTCGTGAAAATGAGAAAAAATTAGCCGTGAGGCGTGAATATTTTTTATAGCGTGAGCCGTGATTCAGTTTGTTCCTCATGGAAGTCTCAGAAGGACTGTTAACTCCAGACGCGCGATTGTAATTTTTTCTTTTTTGTAAATTTAAAAAATAACGCTTGAGTGGAGATTTTTCAAAATTTTGCCTTGCCAGAATTTTTACCAACAAGGCAGTTATTACAAAGGTCCTGCAGACAAGCCATGGCATGGACCAAAATTTGGCATTTTAGAGTGATGATACTAAAATTATAATAACTGAGTGTCTATAACGTACAAGGGGACACTGTGCTCCCACACTCACTATCTCTAGCACAAAACAAATCATGAAAAAGTAATGAAAAACGTTTTCATTTCAAAAATTTCTGAAAGTAATCTAGTTAACCGTGATTCGAAAAAATTAGTCGTGAGTCGTGAAATAGCCAAATTTTTAGCCGTGAGTCGTGATACTTACCACCCCATTGAGACCCTCTTGAAAGTCTTTCAAACTCAATTCAATTGACGTGAACTTTCATTAGACTAGGTTCTTCATATAATATTCTTGTTTATAATAGTGAACTTCATTGTTTAGTTTATATTTGATATTATGATTGAATGTAGTCAAGCATGTACGTTATTGCCTCAGACTGTGTTACGACAATGTGTACTCAAGTGGAGTGGGGTTGGGATTCTTTCTTATGCACTGAGAACACTAGATTCGGTTTAAGATATGATTTTTATCCACAACAATACGGCAGTAGTTGAACCATTTTATTCAATAATACATCATTGAGTATTATAAAGAAAAAAAATCAATGTCTTGATTGTAATCATTAAAATACTATCCTTCAAGACCACACAATAGAAAAAAACGCTAAATGTGTGCAACACTTTGCACTATTTATTACTTAATAGTGTTACTAAACAATAAAAAGTAATACAATGGGCATACGTTAGCAGTGTTTATGTTGCACCACACTTTTAGTATTTGCACTCTATCATTAATTTTTGTAACCTGAAAGACTTGCGATTATTATGAATTATTAATCCACTCATAAAACTAGCTCACTCTGAGCTAAAACACTCGATCTCAAGTCTCATGTCAAACTAGTGTGTACAGGTTTTTAAAAACATGATGGCGTCGAAAATAGGCGAGAGATAACTGAAATCTTGATGTAATTGAAGTTTATTTTACTATATATTTACACTTTCCAAAATGTCCGAGGATAATATGATTAAATAAAATATTTAAGTCAAGTTAAACTAAAACTAGTAGCTCCATATTGTTAGATCATGCACRCGTTRGATTCGCGCCCTYTTCTACTGTTACKCAATAACTTACGTATAAGCAGGCAAGTCTTCATACAGTGAGAGGGGTGTACTCACCCTTGATTTATGCTAGAGATTTATTGCGCTAGAGTCAGTTTCATTCGTCTGTGAAATAGGAATTGTACTATTAAATACTATTACCCCCTATTAGCTCCCAATAGTTTAGCTAATGACATGCGACAAACTAATTAGGCAAACACGTTTTTGACTTTTGCCTTTTGGTAGCCTACTACAC